GGAAGGTGTCCCTGCCCATGGCAGGGGGTTGGAACTGGATGAGCTTTAAGGTCCTTTCCAACCTAAACAATTCTGTGATTCCATTACAGTCCCTTAGCTTAAACTTCCTGGGGCTGTAACACTATTCAGCCTTGACTTCTTCAGTCAAAATCCAGAGTTCCTCTCATGAGGTTCCTTCCATGGCATTTTATAGTGGAGCTTCAGTTGTGCAAACTGTGCAAGAAACCCCTGCACCCCACAACGCACAGGGAAGAATCAAGACTAAGCAAAATTTTACTTTTCTGTGCATATGCAGGCATTCATTATTTACCATGTCAACATATAAAACCTCATTTATATCAAACTGATGGGAAGTGTATTCTGTGATTGCAATGGTTATGTAAAATATATAAAAATAGAAACAGAATGAATAAAGCATACAGCTGTCAGCACAGAATGGAAAAGTGATATTTATAAAACATACATTAAATATCTAGTCACTTCCTAATATAATTTCAGGTATTCTGATGAGCTTTTTGAAATTACACTTCAACGGTTAGCATAAAAATCTCATTTCACTGTGAAAACAAAAGGTTTTGGTACATAATCCGTTACCTTAGTATTTTCCATGTTTTCAGTGATTACTAATCACTGACATTTCCTCATTACAGTGACACTTTCCTGTAACAGGTGAGTACAAGGCAGCCAGAATGTAGATGCTGCTCCCTGCTTGGACTTGGTTGCAGTGAAAGCAAAGGCAAAAGAAGATTATAAGTTATTACTAGATCACACAATTAGTAAAATGTTCTAGAAGAAATGCTGCTTCTACTTTGATTCCTACTTCTTTTGCTGGCAGGTGAAACAGGCCTTATAAGAGGGCAGTTCATTCTATAAAGTTACAGAGTCTGCAAGAACTTGCCATTCTGAAGCGCCTGGTAAGATCCTGAAGATGAAGATAATCCCCATGACATGATGTGATTTCAGCGAAAACTAAAAAAGCTACAATATGCTAAGAACTGAACTGTGGCATCAGAAGACCCACACTTTAATCATTTTCATACCTATACAAGTTTCGAAAGCTCTGCAGGAAAAGCCCCATGTTCTGTAGGTTCTCTCTTGCTGTGCCTTTTTGGGTAGAGGGCCCTATTCAATTTGTTTTTCCCCGAAGACGCTAAAGCACTTCAGGTTAAGAGAGAGAATGACTTCAGAGAAGTCAATTTTATCTTCCCTTAATATAATACAAGTGGTGTTTTATTTTCTAGTACATGTTTTTGTGACTAAATGTCTCAGGCTCCTGTGTGAGCAGAGAAAAAGATGATCTGAGGCAGCTCTGCTCTTCTCATGCCATATAGTTTGATGCAGAGCTTCTTTATTTCCCTTCTTTTCCTAGCTGCAGTTTTAGCTGCTACTTTTTAACGATCCATTGGTCTCGGTTTCACTCAACCCTTCTTTTTAATTTAAGTGCTGATGGATAAAGGTGTCCCTCTGTGTATTGCTAAGCACTCTGCAGTATCTGGTCCAAGATATTCACACGTACATACATATGTATGTACACACGCTTATATATAGCACCACAGTATATAAAAATACTGTAAATTATCAAAATATTAGAGGAAGTCTTTAAAAAAACCCTTCTGAACTGTTTCAATGTAATAAAATAAGTTTAATCGTGTTCTAAATAAAAATACTCTTGCATTAAGAATACAATTCTTCATTAATGTAACGTATTTAACACAAGTCCACGCACAAGTGCATGGTGCAGTTTTGTTTCTCACGCTGCTGTTAGGATGCAGTGCATGAGCAGGAGAATGAGGGCGCAATTGTGCTTCAAGTGCTAAGGAAGTGATGCAGGAGTTCTGCACAGGGAGATGTCCAAGGTGGATTATCATTTCGCAAAAATGTTTCAAATGAGACTACTGTGGCTTACAGTTTATTTTCAATTCTATATTGAGTTTTGCTTTGTGACCCAGGATTTAAGTATCAGTATATACTGATTATCAAATTATACCATCAAAAGTTTTATTTAAATATTTTCTTTCTACAAAAAATATAGTTACACATAATACCCTTATTTTTTCCTGTCATTAATTCAATGCACAATTCACTGAAAAGTTTTACAATCCTCTAAAAAATACCCATTTAAATGTCAAGTTATTCAAATGGTAAATTGTAGGCACTTTCCATTTAAAAAAAACAATTAAATGTAACTTAGGCTACATTAAGGCTGAAACACACTTCTTTCATTAAGTCTGAGATCCATTTTCATATTGTTAAATTGGTCCTATCACTGTGGACTGCTCTAAATACTTGCAATAAATATTGACAACTTTTCCTTCAGTTCTACTTTCCCCCCCCAGAACTGACCAGTTCTTAGTGGAGTTGAAAACTGTGTCCTTCGTATTATTTTAAAAAAGTCTGTATTTTTAGTTCCAGTGAAACTTACCATACTTACATGCTTTAGTCCCTGAGACAGCTTGTAATGCCTTATCATTTGTGTATAATAATCTATATTGAATGTTGCCAACCTGGTATTTTTGTTTATGACAGACACCTTACTCGAGATTTTGTAGAAATTACTAAAATAACCAGATTCTTCAGAGCTTTCAATATTCCTTAAACAAAGATTCAATAGTTACCTCAACTCTTTCCTAATACACAGTATTAAGAATTAAATGGGTTTGGGTTTGCTCTTTTACTTAGCCATTTTTTTGTTGCTGTCAGCCTTGTTTTCAAACAACCTGTAACAAGCGACACACCAAATATTCTTTTCTTCAGTTTTCAGATGTCTTGATAAATACCTGGAAAAAACCAAAATGTCTTATTTTCTGAGATCTGCAGAAGCATTGCCTAAGACATTAGCTTTTCCTTCCTTCCAAGTATGGCTTTAAGGCTGTAGTAATTTCTTCAGTGACTTCTGCCAAATATTTTCTACTTAGGGGTTCACACAAATTCAGACACTTGGGAGAATACTTGAAGAATAAAAAAATCATGTTAATCTGAAAATGTTTGCCTATTATAATTAATATCCAAGATAGTGACTGAAAAAAGCTAGAAAAACCTCCCTGTGTCTTTTGGTTGGTTTGTTTATCATGACCCAAATTCTAGTGGCTGTACTTACAGCACTTCAAAACTATAGAATCCTCCCAGTTGAGCATTTTCATCACTTTCTACAAAGTAAATTTAACTTCTCCCCTAAATAATTAATATAATTCTCCACTTGTGTCTTTCCACACAAAATGCCATTCAAAATTAAAAACAAATGAATGATTATCAGTACTATTTGGTAGGAAGAACTGAAACTTACTTAATAAAGCTTTAATTAAAATGCTTTTGTTAACATGCTTACCTCGCTAAGTATTGCCCATGCAGGAGAATCAGAATTGACTGACAGACGAATAGCCTGTATTTTTCCTATTGACTGATTGATAATGCCTTCTGCAATTCCATTTTCAAAAGCCCCTAAATAAAAAATAAAACAAGACCTATATGAACATGTATTACCATGAAATATGCTTCCAAGTGAACTTATGCAAAAGCTCTAAATTATAAATTAACTCCAGGGATGCAACATTAAGGAAGGAAAATAGAAGGTCAAAAAATGACAACTGAATGATAAAGCTATGAACAAGAAGTAGGATTCATTTCTTCAGTTACAGCAACTAGGAGCTGGGAAAAATGCAAGAAAATAACCTGTAGCTAGAAATGTTAAAAAATATATTTAAATAAGTTAGTGGTGACCATATACATATGGCATACGTGGACATGTTAAATAACTTAAAAGAGCTTTTCTGAGAAGTCTGATTATTTTTAAAAAGACATATTAGGAATCATGGACCAGTTCTGATATATTTCTTTACTTGTTCAATGCTTTTTAACTAAGCTTGTTGCTGCAAATGAAAAACAAATGAAAAACACTCATCCCAAGTACAATATTAATTTCCTATCAGCTTGCGTATGCAGCTGTGAGTTGACAGCATTCTGGTTTAGCTCTCTTAATTAGAGCAAACAGCCACGGGGAGGTGGAGAGAGGTGCAAACTGAAGCAAAGCAGAAGCATCCCTGAGGTGAAAGTGGTTCACTGTGGCAGAAGAGTAATTATGTGGCAGGAGAGACAGAAGAAAGTGGCAAGCAAAGCAGATCTCCCAATAGTCCATTTTTGTTCATGTAAGTGGCATTTTATTTTAGGTAATAGAAACCAGGCCTTGGCAGGCATGTAGAGACTGCAGTTCATTTAAGAGAAGTCACGCACTGAGGAATGAAAAAGGGGAAGCAAGGTGGGGGCAAAAAGGGAGAAGGTGCACTGTATTATGCTTCATTTCAGGTTGGAGCACAAGTTAATACCTTCGTAATTGTAAGAAATCCTTATCTTCAGCTAATGCTGCAAAATCCAAACCAGAGTCAGTTATCTTATGTGATGGGTTGACACTGGCTGGACACCAGGTGCCCACCAAAACTGCTCTATCACTCCCCTCTCTCAGCTGGACAGGGGAGAGAGAGTATCACAGAAGGCTCATGGGTTAAGATAAGGACAGGGAGAGATCACTCGCTAATTACTATCATGGGCAAAACAGACTCGACTTGGGGAAAAAAACATTAAATTATTAGCAATCAAATCAGGGTAGGGTAATGAGAAATAAAACCAAATCTTAAAACCACCTTCCCCTCACCCCTCCCTTCTTCCCCATTTTAACTTTATTCCTAGTTCTCTACCTCCCTCCCCAGGGGGTGGCCTTCTCGCACTCTTCCCCTGCTGCAGTGTGGGGTCCCTCCCACGGGTGACAGCTCTCCATGAACTTCTCCTATGTAGGTCTTTCCCACGGGCTGCAGTTCTTCATGAACTGCTCCAGCACGGGCTTCCCACGGGGTCACGGCTTCTTTTCATGCATCCCCCTGCTCTGGCGTGGTGTCCTCCCTGGGCTGCACGAGGGTATCTGCTCTACCGTGGACCTCCATAGGCTGCAAGGGCACACAGCCTGTCTCACCATGGGCTGCACCATGCGCTGCAGGGGAATTTCTGCTCTTGACATCTGGAACACCTCCTCCGTCTTCTTCACTGACCTTGGCGTCTGCAGGGCTGTTTATCTTGCACATTCCCACCCCTCTCTCCGGCTACAGTTGCTGCTGTGCAGCAACTTTCCTCTCTTCTTAACTCTTACCACAGAAGCACTACCAGTGTCGCTGATGGGCTCAGCCTTGGACAGCAGCAGGCCCGTCTTGGAGCTTGCTGGCACTGGCTCTGAGGGCATGGGGGAAGCTTCTAGAAGCTTCTCACAGAAGCCACCCCTGTAGCCCCCCACTACGAAAACCTGCCACAACCCAATACATCCTATTAAGATCTTGCAGAGAGTCCAGTTAGTTTTTCTTCTAATTAAATGTCTTGGCTTTCGCCACTGCTAGTACGGTTCTTCATTATTTAAAACAAAATAGGATAGTCACTGGTTAAACATCATATACTATAATATGCAGTAGTGCAATGGGTTTGTTTTCCTTGCTAGTTCACCTTTGAATGTTGTATTTATTACAGAGTTAATTAGATTCTCAAATGCAAAACCACTTTATATGTAAGAACAAAATTTCAGGTTTTGAAGTGACAATAAACTATTTACCTATCTGTAAATATCCATCTTTGGTTGCTGGGTAATTAAATTTACTTCCATTGTCAATCAGTTCTTTTTTTAGCATTTCCTGTAAAAAATAAAACAATAAAATCTCCAGAAATATTTTCTAGGTCATGACATTTTATGCTGAGCATCATTCTAAAATGAAATAGCACCATGTGTTACAGTTGGAAATGGGAGACTTACATCAGCTGGCAACACTTCCACAGTTGTGTTAAACAGCTTATCGCCAGGATGCTCCATGTTTCCACTTCTGAAGAAGTACCTGATAGGAAAGGTATGTTATTTCTAAGTATTTTATACTTTAGAAAAGTTCTAGGAAAGTAATGCTTTCCAGTTTTGATGGAGTTTCACATACCTTTTCTTTAATATGTTGTGGGCTGCAGAGAACAGAAATAGGCATTGAAACTTTCCAATGTGTAACCAAACCATACTAGAGGCTTTTCATTTTAAACAGAACAAGCATTAAAAATGTCTTTTTCTGGAACCACAAAATGCAAGTGTTCCCCTTTGCAGTGTTGAAGTTCCAATTAAATTAACTTTACAGGTTTAAATGGCTAAGGAAGATCTGCCTTCTCATCTGTTCCCACTATCTTAAGGCTGAGGTGCGATGGCCTTCTGGAATGCAGTGGCAGCAAAAATGACATGGCTTTAGCATATGCTACCTGACAAGAGAATCCCCCTTTTTATCAATACTGATCAGGTGCTTCTAAATAATCTCCTTTATAGCCAGTGAACAACAACACTGTCAAAGCAAGAATCCAAGCAAAAATACCTTTGAGATTTTAAAAAATAAATCTGTTTGGTTTTATATTTCTGGCATTAGAGTTCTTAGGTTTTTATATCCAAAAAAAGCTAAGGAAATTCAAAGCATCAACGTCCCTCCTCTGGTATAAAACAATCAAAACCTAAGAAGTAGGTTTTTATAGGTTATTATAGAAGTAGGTTATTATAGGATTAACTACATTTTCACAGGTTAGCAGTGTGATGGCAATACAATATGTAAGGTAGCTTCCTCCAGTACAACTTCCCAGTAACAGAAAAATGCAAAATATAGGCTACCCAAGTTTTCCAAAGCATAAAGCAGTTAATTAATAGTGTTGATCACAGAACACCAGTGTTTATTGTAACGACTGTCATTTAGTGCAGCTCACTAGAGATACAGACTTGCTTTCTTAGAACTTTTTAAAATAAAAGAGAAATCTACAATCTTTGCAGAAATGGAAGTCTTCTAGTTTTGGGAGGAAGTCTAACAACAGTGAAGGAGTTTTTCTCTCTGAATATCATTACAAAAATAAGGTAATTGGGGTAATTTGTGTCACTCTCACGGAACTGTATTTCTTGCGACGTTAATTTTTTAACGTAGGTCTGTTCTCCAGTCTGAATCAGAGAGAAGAAAGTTTGCTGAACCAGGCAGGACTGCTCCTTTTGGTGCCAACCTCAGTTTCTACTGTTTGTAGAGTAAGGCTTTCTGAAGAACAGTTCTCTATCTTAAGCTACAGATATCTTCCTTTCAAAGATGCCCAAGTTGAATGATGTGAAAACAGAGAAGATAGTTTCATCTTTTAGTAATAAAAAAACCATCCAAGGTCTTTATCTGTTATGTATAGTAGGAACTTACACACCTACCTTACATGGACATCTCTACTGTAAACACCTACATTTAAACCTCTGAATCTTCAACTGAATCCCACCTTTATTGATTCACTCTTCACTATTTCCCCACAATAGTGAGTATTTTCTCTTTGCTTTCACACACACTGGTAAGTGTCTGGTCTGTGACATGGCCTTTGACTTGACATGAAGCAAACAGCCTTTCTGTTGACAACTACAGAAATAAACCTTTCACTGACTCTTTTGATGGAACTTGCTAAAACCAAATTCCTTTGAGAATTATCAAGAAAGAATGTAAAATATTAAACTGAAGAAATAAAGGGGGGAAAAAACAACCAGTTCTGTAATTACCAACGAAGAAATGTATTCTGGAATTCAAGAGGGGAGCAGATAAATAGCAAATCATAGATTTTTTTTGTCACTAACTAGGCTACAGTTTAAGCAAACAGTTGAGCACTGGTGATTTTGAACAGGCTCCATCATTTCCCAACTAGATATATGTAGGCTTCCGTATTCCATATCTCGTAATACTTACTTTTCAACTTTCACTGGATTTAAAAAGGTGAAGCTGATGTACTCCCCTGCTGTTGGAGCTGAAGCCCAAAAACAGTCTTGTCCTTTATAAACTTTTTCCAAGGTAAATTGCTTGTATGTTTTTAGGCTTGTATCCACTTTTGCAGGTGGATTATTATGCGCTTTATGTAGCACATTCTTGCCAAAATCTTTATCCTGTTGGATATAAAGAAATCTAATATCACTCATGTAATGAAATAAAAGCATTCCAATATTTTGAATTATAGGAAGCTAGTCCAGAAAATAATCGCCTCAGTGTCAAACCCCACACAATCTATTTCTAATAGAAATATTCATTTCAGTGTAGTCACTGGGACTCAGACTTGCAGTGTGTAGACAGAGTTGTACTGAGTATTTCTTAGTTATCTAGATTTAAAAATTAAATTCTCCACAGCAGGCTATTTCATAGTTGTATACTGTGCCTTCTGCCAAAACACCTGATACTGGTCTCTGATAAAGACTACATGAACCTCTAGTCTGATCCAGTACAGCAATTCAAATGACCACTGTAAATGGCGCCATCAGGACATCCCTGAATTCTGGTGCTTCACTGCTCTTGTCCTTACCAGATACGTGGTAAATCCAGTGTTTGCCCTCCAAACTCTCCCTAAGAATCTATGGCTGTCACAATAGCCACATCCTTATCCTTCTTCTTAATAATCCCTCATGTTGGGATTGTGGACTAGTCGTTCAAAACAAACCATCATAACCATTTGCATTTGTACAGGGCAGAGCACATGAAACCTTGTACAGTGCAGAGAGTGCTATGAAATGCTACTATGACAGATACAAGTGTTCAAATTAGAGATTCAAAGCTGTTTGTGCAGAAGCAGTATGCCCCACCTGCAGTTTAGACACTATATCAATATTCTCCCCCAGATCTGTAAACCAGAGTTCTTGGACACAGAAATGCATCTAACACCCAAGATGCAATGCTTGAAACTGATTTGAGAAACAAGTCAAAACACAAGCATATCATTTAGAAATATGGCAGTAGTTTCTTATCCTTACCTTCAAATTCTGTATCTTCCCAGCCAATGATGAATAAATTCCCACATGCTGAAAGAGAGAGGGTTTAGCACGGATACGTAACTTTGCCTTCTCCTTTTCACAGTGTGTCTGAAAGAAATTAAAAGGGAGTGAAGTTGTATTCAAATAAAGCAGAGACAAACTAAGTTACATACAGCACTTTCATTATGTACTTGAGGGTATGGGTCCAGTTTTTTTTAATCTATATTTAAATGAGTAATCCTTATACTAAGTCACCTTATTTCAGATACACCATTTCTATACCTAGTATTTGTAATTCCTCTCATAGTGCTATGTAGATTTGAAGGCTCATCCACCACTAATTCAGGGATTTCTGCACTATATACATTCAAAAATGTAAAAAATGGACCTCAGATCTGAAACTGATTAATTTTTTACCTGTTTCTAGCAAATTTCATTTCTCTTGGCCTTGCCATATCATTCTAATTAGACTATTTTAACCAAAACTGACCTTGAGTTGGAGTCTGGTTACATTTCAACCTCTATCATTTTGGCTCTTTATGCAATGTTCGAGAAACTTACAATGTATTATGCTGTAAGTTACGTATCTTTCATCTGGTAATTAGATAAAGCCCTTAGATACTGTATTTCAATCCTGATTTTCCAGTTTAGTATGTTTTGTAACATTACATGTAATGTTACAAAGTAGCCTACTGTGGAAAAGTATATTTTTACATGAGCAGATGTACCTGGATCTTCACATGCTAACACTCAGCCCAGGCTGAAAACATGTGCCAAACAGCCACCACCACAGGATGGCACATAATACCCACAAACAAGTGCCCTGCTGACTCACCTGTGAGGCACAGTGTGTGATCACTTAGTGACAGTCTTAGTTGCTTGAAAAGGGGAAAGCATGCGGATTTCTGTCAGTTTGCCTTCTCTGGTGCCTCTAGGAAAGTCCACTGATTCAAGCTGTCTAACAGAAGAGGAGCAGTCCCTGGGATCCCAGTCCTTCCTCCAGCCTCCATTTTCTGTATTCTCATGAGTAGTCCCATTAGGTCATGCCACTGGTCATTCCCACCTAAGGGCTGCATGAGTCTGACTTGTCTCAGTAGGATTTTGCTACCCACAGCAATTGAAATTGCAATTGCAGAAGTGAAACTCTCTAGAAACTTGCTGATACCACTCTGCTTTGGCTTGGTTGGAGCAGGCTCCCATGAGCTGCCTGCCTGCCTGCCTTTCAGGAACAGAGCTTCATTTTAGGTATGAATCAGGTCTTTGAAGCTAGTACAGCCATTTAAAATATAAGAGTAAGATGTTTCATTTAGCAGATGAAGTTGGCACATGTTAGATCTGAAATGGGTGATGGTAACATAATTGTATCTTTTCCTGTTATCACAGGCAGGCAAGAACCTAAATTAAAGGTACTTGAGGCTCACTCTGACTCACATGAACCAACCTAACCCATGGAGTAGGATTTCAAAGCTTACTTCTATCTGTATGAAGTGAGAATGGAGACTCTTAAGTGGCATTACTAAGTGTAAAATCAGGGACCTTAGCTATCCCCAAGAGTCTCCTCTGTTACACAGTAAAACTTGAAGCTTGTTGGTTCCACTCCCCTCAATCTCCTGCTTTGCACAGCTCCTATCTAGCTCTTCCTCCTTCTTTATCAACACAAAAGTAATATGTGCAAACACCTGGAGTGGGGACTGGCTACACTAATCAAATAAAGATCTCGAACCTTAAAAACCAAGAAGGACCAGAAACTCATCAGTCCTCTGTTGCAGTCTGTTATACAAGAAGAGTATGAGTAGTGACCAGCACCAAAGACTGGTGAGAGAAAGAACGCAAAAGGGCATAAACATACCATTTGGCTCACTTTTTGTAATAGAAATGGCACCTTCTGCAATTCCACACAACTGTTTCTTTCATTTTCAGTGAAAAGTATCATATAGTTCATTTGATCTACATTTCCCTGCATTATTTTTTTTCAGCCAGTCAAATTTTCCCAGGTAGTAAAAGATCTAAAGCAAGTTCTGCTTCCTGAAAGAAAGCAACTGGTATGCAAAATTCAGAACAACTGTGACTGTAAAAGGTATCCTTTACTCACTTTAATTTTGGGGATCAGCAGAAGATTATGAGAAGTGATAGTTCATATAGTTTTACATATTCAAATTGTTCTTTGGTGCTGCAGGGCTGTTTACATGCCCAGCTGCAGGCAGATGTGAGCTTGTGCTGTCCATGTTTTGAGCTGAAGGAGGCAGAACAGCTTTGGTGTGGAAATGTGAATTGCTGGGAGTTAGGCCTCATCATATGCCCTAGTGGGCTCAAACACCATGCAATTCTGTGCAGATCTGCAGCATCAAATTCCAAAGTAAATCAGGCTTGAGAAATTTCTATTTCACTTTCTAAAAATAAACTATTTTGTCACTGAGTCTGTTTAAATATTAGTTATGTTCATAAATTCATAGACATACTTACTGCATCCTTTTCTGGATTGCACACTTTAACCCAGAGCAGGTGGTCTATAAGCCAGTCTATGGGCTTGTCTTTATAGAACATGAGAAAAAATTGCACTATGAGTGGCAAGTCTTCTGATTTAAACAATTTTCCTGAAAGCAAGACAAGAAGTTGCATATTCAGATATTTTTATTGCTGTGCAAAAATCACCAGCTTTATGTTTATTCAGGCCTTAAACACATGGATGTAACTCTGATATTTAGTGAAAATTCTACAGACTCCAGCTTTGGAGAGTTGCTTATCCTCCAGCTTGTTGGGATTTTAAAAAGATGTCCATCGCATGCCTGGAGAGATTCTCACACAGTCAACCAGTGGACTAATAAAGCATGTAGTATAACCTAGTTCCAAACACAAATCTGCCAGTCACCTTTATCAGAGTGCCAGATGAAACAAAGTCCAAATAATTCCTCAAAATGCTAGACATGCATTTGACTGGCAATACTATACTGAGTATCTTTAGATTAAGACCTTGATATAAAGTGTTGTTTTAAAATACTATCCCTGTTCATTTAGTTCTCTTGCTATTTGTATTAGCAGATTGTTAGATTTCTTTCTTTGACCTAATGCTTATAAGGTGTTACCACAAGTAAATTGTATTAGAACTAAAGAAATAATATAAAAAGAAACTTACTACTAAAAATATTAAAAACCTCCCCTATGATATGGGATGCCTGTTCTGCTCCACAAAGGAAAGGAAGCAGATTGTTTTAACAGATCGTTCAAATTCTTGTCTTGAAGAGAAGACTACACACTACAGGGGCACATAGTGCTCTGGGTGGAACAATTTGCTTCTTAAGGGAATCCAACTACTAGATCCTGTGCTGAGGAGACTCTGCATTAAAAAGACAGTTTTAAAGAACACAAAAAATAAAACTTTCAGTGGGAGCTTTCCTGAGTCCTTGAATACTTTGAAATGTAATTGCGAGGGAGACCTACTCAAAAAAACACAACCCACACAGCTCCAAATCCAGTTGACCCTGCTGAGATCGTAATACTTACCAATAAATCCAAGCTGGGAGAACTCGAGAATCATCCAGTCTTGGGACTGTGTAGCAGAAAAGTTTCTTATACCTTGAATATAATCAGGTTTAGCTATAATGTCATCTTCCAGCTGGGGAGAAAAAAAAGAGCAACGAAAAAAAAAAGAAAGCAATTGGTGGTTTTATTGCTGGCAGTCATGTGTAAGTGACAACCACGTTGCGTTTGACTGCTATATAGCACACACTGAAGCTGGGCCAAACTACAGTGGATTGCTACTTAGCTTCTACATATATCTCTGTTTCAGTATCATTCATTAAATATGTATTTACAGGAGGGACCATAACACCATGAGTGCTTCTCCCTTTTTGAGAAAGGAGGACTCTCTTACCTTAGAGAGATCTCACTTAAAAGAAAAAGTGAAGCAAAAAGAGGTTAAGGAAGAAGACAGTAGACACTTTGTACTGAAGTTGTATAAGCACTGATAAGCAGCAGAAGCAAATTGTTTAAGAAGAGTTGTGTATAAAGCAGATGGTTAAATGCTTTCCACAGTAGCCTCGTCAGACTTTGTCGTACTAAAAGGTGACTGAGAAGAACCTGGATGATTACTGACACAGTAGTAGAAAGCAATTTATTTCAGGGAATACTAGTGATGAAAGAAGGAACGTGCTGTGAATCACACTGAAGGACAGTGTAAAGGCTGAGACTGAATACAGCAGTAGAGCCAGCTAACGGATACTTGGAGAAGGAGACAGACATCCATCAAGGAAATGGGACATGCCTTGGCTGCATTTTTGCACAGCTTTCAGAGAAGAACGTGGGATCTGAAAAAACAGAAGCTGTTCCCATTACTAAAGCTGAGGATAATGAATCTAAGCAAGGAGTTTACAGGTAGTGACACAAAGGAAAGAAATGAATTCCAGAGATAATTAAGGAGCAAGTAATTCAGGGCTTGAATTTGGTATGGGTGTGAAAAACACAGGAAGAGGAGGCTAAACCTTCAGGAAAATGTTGTTTGGGTGCAGTGTTGATCCAACTGCTTTACTTCATTGGCTCTGGTGTTTGTCTGGTGACACTGGAATCTGGTTCAGAAAGCTAAACAGGTAGAAGATGAATGCTATGAGGGGGAGGAAAAAAAAAGGCAGCATGATTTCCTGCTGGTTTTGTGTCCTCAACTGACTCAGCACAGAGTCCGCAGCAAGAGCACACCCAGAGCTTTTAGCTGAATTTGGCCATTACTACAAGTGTAGGCATGGTGGGGCAGAAATGTGTTGTCAACAGTGAGCCCAGGAAGAAGCAGAATGAAGTTTGAAACAAGATTAAGAGATCTGTTTTGACCCTGTCAGTTTTTGCTGATGGTAAGATAACAAAAAAGAGATAGATGGAGATCAAGATGAATGCTTCTTAACAGATTCTGAAATCTGGGGATTGAGCTGAGGTGATAGTTATGCAGAAGAGAACCACAACAACAAAACCCAAACCATCAACTTACAAGAAATGTTGCATAAAATCAAATGAGTAAGAGGATTGTCCAGTAATAATTAGCTAGATGTAAAAGGGAGAAGAGCAAGGAATCAGAGAGTTTCAGAGAATCCTTAAAGAGAAATTGAGGGGCACCCAAAAAAGGACAGAAGGCAGAAAGAGGAGTATTTAAAAAACCTAGTGAGACCACCGTATCAAGAAACACCAGAAGAAAGCATATAAAAGTAGTAAAGATGAAAAATATAGACTCTGATGCAAAGTGAGTGTGAATATGGTTATGAACTGAAAATAATTTTGCATATTGAGATGTCTGAAACAGTCTTTTCTGAAGCTGACAGTCAACAGTGAATACTGGAGAATATACACTGATATACTATGTAGTGTAGGCCATAAAAAGTTTATTTAACCCTGTACAAGCTCTGTAAGTTGTGTCCAACCAAAGCACATCTTCCTGAAGAGCATCTGCTTTTGCTTAGAGATTTCGGTATAAGTTCTTTTTCATTAAGTTATACTATGTGTAATTATCCTGAATGTTTAGTACATGGTACCCAAATACTAATTTAAATTTTTCAGGCTTCAGCTTACATAGAACACAGGCAAAGTAGAAGAGATGGTTCAAACAGAAGAGATGAGATGACTGACAGAATTTATTGTCTTTTTTCAAAGATTACATTTGATCAGTAGGTAAGGTTCATCCACAGTGTAACCCTGTTAGCTTCAATGGACTTCACAAAGCTGCTTGCTTAAATCCTGATTCAACAGTATTTACGTGTTTATTCAGCAAAGATCTTGCCTGACTCATGACATGAACTGTTCTGTAGACATCCAAGACTAAATACGTATGCTTACCTTCTTTCAAAATTCACAAGTTAATAGCAGTCACCCAAATGATACTATTCCTGACAAAACAGGAAATAAAACCTAAGCTAGTTCAAGTTTTCCCTAAGATTGTCAAAGTAAATCTTTGTACCAGGCTAAGGAAAGGGATTTTTAAGTTATTTGCTTTCCATTAATACAAGGCTTTCAAATGAAGGGAGATCAGAGTTAACTTTATGGCAGCATGTGTTCCTTCTTTTCACCTGTACTCTACAGAGTATTTTCTGGGCAGACCAGCATCTGTGCTACAGAAGCAGCTGCAGACTGAGCACACAAACAAAGATGTGGATATACAAGGTAGCAGCATGAGGAAAGCACAGAATTTAAGAAAATTCTGAATGTAGCCAAAAATACCACCAGATCATCGCAATCCAGTCTTTGCTCCAAATAACACAGTTCAGTTCTGCTATAGTGTCTCAGACAAGAAAACGTATTCTCAAATTTCTTCAAAAATATAAATACATAAGTAAGTCATTTCCATGCAAACATGAATGCTTGGACAACTTTATAGGAGAAAGGGGCATTAAGTGTCTGGCAGTGTACTTAACATTTCCCTTCAGTGTTTCCCATGCCTTTAATGCTCTACTGCACTTAGTAAACTTAGGTAGCATTCTTAAAAATGTAAGAAAGTTGTGGGGAAAAAATTCATTTTCCAGTAAACCTTAACTGTTACAGACACCATTTTTCTTTGTCCACCTGTCTTTTGAGTGCCTATGCCAAATTTGAGAACAGAGCACAGACCCCTGAGTAGCCCAGCTCAACTGTGTTTTTGTTAAATGCTGACAAGAATTGTACAAGATGCCTGCTCTTGTGGTTTTCTCTTCTACTTCTGGGAATCTTGTGATGTACTTACGTGATACAGAGCCTGAGGCCTGCTGGAGGAGAACCAGGAAAACTAAGAACTAAGCAAAATACTGTTCTGAGCTTTTAAAAAAGACTGTTGAGATTCACAAGCTACAGGAACTTCTATGGATCTGTTCTGTTATTGAACAGTCCTAAATTCTGGAGTCTTTAGCAGTGATTATCATCTTTATGGACTGCAAATCAGCACAAACCTAGAATGATGTGTAAACCTAAGCCTGAATGCATGAAGCTCTTCTTAAAGTCTAACTCTCCAAATCTGCAGAATTTAGGATCTGTACCAACTTGCAGTTTAACCTTTTCTCCGGTATCACCATACTGGTGTATTTCCCTACCTGTAAAGGTTTCTCGGTTCATTGTGATCTGGGCTGTAACCTGGACCTACCACCACTATTCTGTCGCACTGCATCAAGTGAAAACATGTTAAACTCTTTCTTTCTTAACCTATTCAAATAAGGGTTTCATGCTTCATTTATCTTGTTATTCAACCTCACAAATTACAGGAAGTTACAGGATGTTTTTAATCAAATAGTACCTGGATGCGAGATGATTATAAGCACAGAAATATGTGGGTGCTTGTAAAGAGCACAGGGAAAATACACAGAAATTATAATAAATTCCTGGGTTTACTGAGGCATTTGAAACAAAATTGCCAAAGCTAATAACCTATACAGATATATTGCATCTACTTAATAATATGAACATACCTGTAAATAAAATCTTCCCTTTGGTTGGGCATATAGCATTAAAAAGCTGTAATCCAAATTCTGTTTGGTTCTCCACCTAAATATAAGCAGCAAATTCTGATAAGCTTTTTGAGGGGGTTGCAAGAGTTATTTCTATAATAAAAGCATTTCTAATGCTCTACAGTAAAATTGCAAGGTTGAGTATTCTAACTCATTAAGTGAATAAAAATTCCTCTATAATCAGTGTAAACATTTGTAAATAATTCCTATAAAAGTTAACATTAACCAATGTAACCTGAAAGAAAATGTCTAACAAGTATATTCATGTCAAATGACTTTAAAGATTCTACTCAATATATTATGAACAGCAGAGATCAACACACAATGATTATTTAAAGATCAAAACTTAAGTGCTTTTTACTGATGAAGAGCACAGAAGCAGGTTGATAAACTTCATTTCCAGGTTTAAACATAAACACACATTTTTCTCTACAAAGTACAGTCTCTCATTTTAACAAAGGATGAAGCTGATGTTTGATAATCAATGCTAAAGGACTGCAGAGCAATTTATCATTACTTAAGTAACATAAAAGTGTATTCAAATCTAGTAATATCTGAAACTTAAGGATAAGTATACATACTTATTAATGCTCTAAAAGATATAATACAATACCCATGTGTACATGTACTCTCTGATCTCCTCCAACCTAAACTCCAGTACTGCAGCTCTTCTAACCAGAAGCTACCCTAACTGCATTGTTAGGGTAGCTTCTGGTATTAGTTATTGTTAAACACAAGAAAATTACTTTCCTCCAATAAATCAATTTTGTTAGGTTATTATGTGTCTCAGTGAATCTGGGAGACATGAGCGAATGAACTCACCAGCTAGGATATATTATTAACAGTATTATAAAAAGTCCATGATCACCTGAAGTTAGGTCATTAATTAAACCCACAGTAGTTGTTACTAGTTAGGTAAGGGGCCCTGTGGGGTTTCCGTTGTGTGTTCACAGAACCTCTCCCTTTCTGTCACATGAAAGATTTTCCTCTCTTTATCTTTATGAGCAGATCATCTAGCTTATCGCCTCTTGGCATTATCCATCTGGTTACCTAGAATAGCTAGAGTCAAGACCCAAAGGAGAAGCCTTGGCTCTCACCCTGAAGCTGACATGCAGCATAGGTTTTCTCAAGATCCCCTTGTGTAATAATTTTTTTTAAAGTACACTTGAAGTCTATTCGCTCTGAAATACAAAAACATTAACAGCTCAATGCTGACATTTGCCAAATTTTCCATTTTATAGTCTTAGCAAAAGTTCTTAGCTTTTACATAGCTATCTCACCTTACTCTGTCCTCTGAATCCCCAAACGTTTGCTTCAGGTTGGAAAGATCTGGATAATAAGAAGCAGGAGGAGAAATAACCTCTAGGACTCCAGACTGGATTTCTCTGGGAAAGCTGTGAAGAGAAGCTTAGTGAGACCCCATTCCTCAAAAACACTTTTGAGGGCAACCACAGACAGCAGCTCACCAGGGTTGGGCCTGCTCCTCTCTAAGTGGAATTCACAACTCTAGCCTGTGAAGTCACACAGATTGTAAATTAGGAAACCAAGAAGGGATCTTTGTCAACCATCAGAACAGACAGGACAGTAACTCACTGAAATCTCAGAAAACACTGAAGAGAAGGATGTCTCAGAAATCCTGCCCCTTCTGCATTTATAGATACTTGTAATCCTGAGATGGTTGCCAAAATGCAGCAGTAATTCACAACCAAACCCACTATCTAGAACTACACACAACTGTTCCCCCTTGCATGAGAGCGCCTCGCTTCCTTACACTTGCTCTAACTCTAATGCCACATCCTAGCCAAAATGATACTGTCCTGGGGTGGGGTTTTGGTGTGGGGAATCTGGGTCTAGTCTCTGCTCCAAAGATTAATTTTGCCACTTAAAAAGTCATTGAAAAACATGTGCAATCAACTTTAGGAGCCAAACCTGGAAGCCAAATCTCCCCCTTCCTCCAAAATATGTTAAAAAACAAAACACTTCAGTTTTTCCTAGGTATAGGATCACTTAAATAAGGATTTTGCAGAACAAAGTTCCCCATTTCCTATGACTGATGGAAAAAAAAAAGTTTCTTTCAGTCAGCTGCACTTCAGGGCCATCAGCCTTATCGGTTTTGTGACTTTTAACTACACTATAGCATTTCTTCAAAAGCAGCTTTTGTAAGACAAAGTAAATCTACCAATAAGTGTATTTTTTTCCCCAAACATTTCAATTCAGTAGTTATTCCTCTCCAGCTGCTCTAAGGTTTTTTAACACACAGATGATGCTGTGTACATCTATGGGAAAGAATGATAAAAGCAAGCAAAACTGCAATGGGAAGCAAGCCTGCATTTGACAGCTTTCACATTAATTTGGCACAGCAAAGAATACCCATCTCATGTTACCCATTATATAACAGTATTCAACATTACGAATATAATCCCACTGCTGTCCAAAGTCCACTGCCTTCATGGAAAAGAGGCAAACAAGGAAACAAAGACACCTAGGAAACATAAGAGACATCAGAATACGCTGCAGGGCTGTGAAGCCCATGGGGACCTAATATATGTAGCCCCAGGTGTCTTGAATTGCATCATTAATTTCGTGGGGAAAAGACTTAGGTTCAAGTAAATATTTAGCAGAGGCTTAAACTGAGATCTGGCCTGATTAGTTAATGCATATTTATGAAATAAGAACAAGAATATAAACTGATATACATACTTCTGAATTTCAGTGTGTTAACGATACACATAGTGAGAGTGCACCTTTGCCTCAGTTCTGAGCAGTTCCATTTTCAGGATCGTAGAGTTGTAAGTTATTGCTGAAATGCTCTAATTTTTTACATAAAAGCTCAAAATGTGCTTGCTGGCTGTTGTAGTCTATACACCATAGGACTTACCTGGTTTTAACACTTTCTGCAACACTGTTAACATACTCTGCATTCACCTAAAGGAAAGAAGGGGGGTTTCATTTCAAGTCACCCATTTTTGTATTAAGCAACATTTTGTAGGGAATATTTATAGGTAAACACTTCATTTTTATTCTCTAATTATTTTCATTCCAACCAAAAGCAATAGGTTATAACAGCACTTCTATTAAAGGACTGAATGGGTTTTTCAAGCCAACTGAACTCTCAATGTAGTTGAACGTAAACTGAACTATCTCCAGCTATGGTTTCATTAGCAGCTATATCCTGAATCTATAGTAAGTAAAAATTATGTGAAGTGGTAAGTAACTAAATGTGGTAAGAAAAATACCAACAGCTTTGCAACTCACTTTCAGTCAATAAGTTACTCTGACTTAACTCATGATGTAAACATTTAACTTGATCTTCTCTAACTTTCTGGAAAAAAGGAAGGTCTAGGTTCATGATCAGTGAACGCACCTGCCCTACTTTCATAATAAAATGTTCTTATCACCTGTCATGATCAACTGGCTCTAATTTACTGCATGGCTGAGAAATGGAAGCTGCAGGAACGTGACTTTGGGTATGGGAGAAAGGGGGGAGACTGATTATTACAACAGCAGTTTAATCCTATATTGGCTGAAACGTACTATTACTACAACCAAAGCTACTGTTGTGAGAAGTTCCAGGTTAGGACTATCAACAGTTATCCAGAAGGAACTATTCAGAAGTTAACCCTTAAAGAACTCTCTGAAGCCCTGTCATAAGTTTATCTGAATGGCAAGTAGGCAAACCTCGTCATTGCAAGGGCTCTTAATTGGGAATTAGAAGCTGTAAAGTAAATTCAGCTCCTAAAAATGATGCTGAAGAGGAACTACAGCCAGTAAAATTGGGCCTATTTATTATTGTGACCCGAACAGAAAAGTGGAAGTTATGACCTAACTTGATAAAGTCAACTATGTTCTGTTTGACAGTATTACAGCTGCTGAAGTTGCTCTATGTGATGACTGAACTAAAAAAGCAAACTTTAACTGTTAACAAATACATGTATGAAATTTAATGTTGTTTATGGAAGGACAAAGAAATGTGAGGAATAAATATCAAATCGGAATAATTGCAGTCTTTTTACCTGCAAATAGCTATCACTAGCTAACTCCCTGCTATAGCTTTTTTCCAATGTGATCAAGACCTACTGGAATGAGGGGGAAAAAAAAAGCTTAGCCCTAATATCCTATCTTGACTGTTGTTTACTTTCCCAAACATGGAACCATTTAAGTCTCTAAACAGTTTTCTTTTTCACAAGCCATGTCAACACACAGGCAAAAGGCAAGGCTCCAGCATGTCAAGGTACTTTGCAAGATAGACGATATCAAAATGGCAGATAAATAATCTGAATTTTTGTTAGGCTGAGTAAGTTCCCTTTTTTCAAGTTCTATGCAACTTTTCTGTGGAGGATTTTCATTTCGTTCTTGAAGCAGAATACTTTGAGAGATAAATGATGAGTTCATACTTATTTGAAAACCTGACTGCAACAGCTGTGTAAATGTAGTATGACTTTTTACCTTTTGATCATCTGAGTTACAGGGGTTTTTCCACATATGAACACTGAAGCACTAACTGCTCAGTATCTCCCCCAGCCCTAAAGAAATCCTTCCCAAAGGGCTAGCTAAAAGTATTTTGCAGCCTCTCCAACACTATTACACTAAGACATACATTATCTATATTGTCTTTCTATCAGTATACTGCACCTTTCCGCACAAACTTACCTCTGCTACAAAGACAATTATCATGCAGTCATTCTTTTCCTCTTCAGAAAGTTCATACAGTAGGGAATGCAGTGTACTAATCAGATAATGCTGTTTTTCCCTTTTCACAGTAGGAATACCCATCACCAATGAGACTGCAAAGAAAGAAGTCCACAGGCTACATAAGTTTAAGTCAGGTAAAGGGAAACTGAAATTACCTTTTAATTTTTATTTGATGTGATCAAAAGGCTCGGTGACAGTTAATATTCCTATAGCACTGTGACAGCATTTGCTTTGCTACCTGGAAGGAGAGATATCTCCAGCCAAGTTTAGGTTAGAGACACCTGTGTCTTTGTTAGAAGCACCAGGTCTACACCGTGTAGACTTAACATTTGAGAACTTGGAGATATTACTACCTCTGGCAAACATACAGGTATCTGCTATTGAGCTTCAAAAGTGGGTATTGCAAAACAAGTGCTAGCTCTTGGTATAGAGTTGGAGATCTGAGTAGTAAGAGTTAAACCAACCCTGCTCTAATGAGCAAGTACTCACAGGTGGCGAGTGCTGCGTATCTTGGAAAGGAATCCAGCTCAAAAATCTTTCTGAGCAGTCTAATTGATGTGATTCAATGGCTTTCACATAATAATAATAAAAAAGGAACTTAGACGTTATCAAGAAGAAATGAGCTAAAATTGCCCCCAGCAGAGACTCCACTAGTAGCAAACCTATGCTGTATTACATCATTAGATTGTAAGCAGGCTATCTCTTTTTCCATTGGTATGGGCACTGCCTAAATCAGGGACCTAATCCAGCTCAGTAAACCTGTGAAATTCTTAGTCCTTACAGATGACTGCTATTCACAAAACCCTGTGGCGCTGATAAGGAAGCAACAGATTTTGAAGGAGTAGGTGTAGTTCATCATCCGTGCCAGTGTCGGCTCAAAAATGCCAACATTCCAGCATTCCTTCCCAGCACGTAACCTGCTAAACTGGTGGGGGTTTGTTTGGTTTTACACACTGAAGGTCAACCTGTACTTGTTAAACAGCAGTCTTCTATTGTGATTTTAATGGATGAATAAATGGAAATTAAACACGGAGCATTTTTTTATTGCGTATTACTTTTCTTCCTTCCCCTCCCCCTTGCTTGTGAATATATTTGGTTTTCTGAGGGTCTTTTGCAAATCATTTTGCTGACAAACTCTGGTCTTTTTCAGACTGACAGATCTATGGGCACTCCAGCGAGAACTCCGGCACTAGATCACACTGCTACAACTGCACCTACAAAGGAGAAGACTGTAGAAAATTATCCATTGTCATGGGCATGCCAAGTTGGTTTTTTAGGTAAGTCAAAAGTGCTGCCAATGTTTCTTTATATAAAATCACTCTAGAGAAGAGTCATAATTTCAACAAAATAACAAACCCCAGCAAAATGGTTGATAAGTTCCTTATTACTGCTTATGAATATTCTTTTTACCTATCACATGAGAGTTAGGAGAAGATGTAACTGTATATTTTGTATTTGTTGTGGTTTAAGCCCAGCCAGTAACTCGGAACCATGCAGCCGCTCACTCACTCCCCTCCTTCTTCTTCCTCCCGCTCCCAGAGGGATGGGGACGAGAATTGGAAGAACATAACTCCCATGGGTTGAGATAAGAGCAGTCCAGTAACTAAGGTATAATACAAACCACTACTGCTGGCACCAATAATAATAATGATAAGGGAAGTAACAAGGAGAGAGGACACAACCGCTCACCACCCACTGACCGATACCCAGCTCGACCCGAGCAGCATCTGGGCCTTCCGGGTAACTCCCTCCAGTTTCTATACTGGGCATGACGTGCTGTGGTATGGAATAGCCCTTTGGCCAGTTTGGGTCAGGTGTCCTGCCTCTGCTTCCTCCTGGCTTCCCCTCCTCTCTGGCAAAGCATGAGACTGAGAAAGTCCTTGGTCAGAGTAAACATTACTGAGCAACAACTAAAAACATCGGTGTTATCAGCGTTGTTCCCAGGCTGAAAGTCAAGAACACAGCACTGCACCAGCTGCTAAGAAGGAATAAAAAAAAATGACTGCGGTAGCTGAACCAGGACAGTATTAGATTTCACTAGAATTCATTATGATTTGTGCAGGTGTCAGCTGATTTCTCATGTGGATGAAAAAGTTACACTGAAGATTTATTAATATCTTTTAAAGGATCTCATTACCTTTCCATTTGCTTCTAACTTTAGCAAACTGAGTGCATTATAAACTCTCCTCAGCTTCCTCATTCATATTTGTATTATAGGAAAAAATGTTAGCTAATGTATCTTAGCCATATGACTATATGAATATTCATATATTGAATATATTTTTTTAATTATGACTATTTTTTGTTGATATTTAAAAACATTTATCAGAATACTTCAGGGTAAAGACTTGAAACCAGGATGGGTGTGGTAAGTCCTTTTGCCATCTCCATTAAAATCTATTCATTTTGACAACATTATAAAGTTCAGGGGAAAACCCACTCCAAACTTGGAGTTTGCTTCATTGTTAGAACTTAATATATAATATAAACACATAGAATATGTAAGCCAAACTTTATTTCCTACCTCCAGTTCTCTGTTGCCCAAAAATAACATTTGGGAAAACCGCATCTTCATATTCTTGAAGGTGAGGTAGATAGAAGTAAATGTTTATAAGATGCACGGGGAGTTTTCTGGTGAAGTTTAACACTTTCCACTTCACATCATCTTAAAGAAACAAAACCCACACATTTTATAAAGAGTGAAGCTTATTATTTTAATTGTTTTCCTCAACTGAATACTATCAGATTACCAAACACAGTGCTGTGGTATGGAATATCCCTTTGGCCAGTTTGGGTCAGGTGTCCTGTCTCTGCTTCCTCCCGGCTTCCCCTCCTCCCTGGCAGAGCATGAGACTGAGAAAGTCCTTGGTCAGAGAAAGCACTACCGAGAGGCAACTAAAACATCAGTGTGTTATTAGCATTGTTCTCAGGCTAAAGACAAAAACACAGCACAGCACCAGCTACTAAGAAGAAGAAAAATAACTCTTAACAGCTGAACCCAGGACAACAAAGAATAGCAAATAGTCTTTCTAATCATTAAGAAAACTGCTTGGAAACAAAACTGAAGATCGCTCCAGACTTTACTTACCAGCTAAGGCTAAATCTTGCTTTCTTGCCACAGGCAGCATATGGCTCTCGCACTAGAATTTTGTCTATATCCTACTAGCTACCTCAACATGTATGTCTTCGTGCCCCGAAAGAAAAATACACCTCCTATGAATTTATCTATGGTAATTCATACTTCAGTGGGTGTCTCCTTCAGACACTTTATCTGTTGTGCAAAGATGCTGGT